TCACTAGCTGTATGAATTGTGGCATCATTGTCAGTTGGTTTTTCAACCTGTTTCTTCAGACCAATTTTCTTGCCAAAAAAAGCGTCGATTAACTGTGAGATGCCTCGGATTTCAGCAGTTGTAAGTGGTGGCTCCACAAGTGGCAATATGCTAAGAAAAATTATTGAAACTTTCAAATTACCACGAAAGTAATTTCAAGAAGGCTACCTCTTGACTATAGGTGCTGTATATGTATTAATAGAACTAAGTTTTTGTTTTACAAAACTTTTTTCAACTATCCAAAGCCATGGACGTCGCATAGAATCACCAAAAATAGGCGTACATTTTAAGTCAACTCCGGCATAAATCAAATGCCTTCTCATTTTCTTCGATATATTTTCTAGATTCAACGTGGTGAAGTCAAAGTCTTTTGTATTGGGATTCTGCAAGCAATAAAGAGAGCTGTCGCTGGTGTTTTATGTAAGCATTTATTTTTACCTACCTCATCCAATTCCGCCTTATACATTTGTTTGCATTTGCGAAAGGCTACAAAGCCTGCAGCTATCCTTGTGGCCCACAAACTTGCACCAGCTCGACGGTTCTTCGGCACGACGGCGTTGTCTGCCATTTCTATCAAACTGTAAAAGAGATCTTCGATGAATCCGTGAATCGCCAGCATTCGGAAAAGGCTTTGTGTTGCGGCAATTATAAATTCTAGAGGTTCCCCAGAGCTATGAGTATCTTTAAAAAAGAAAAATATATGTACGTTAGACTGCATCACCAAAAAAAAAGTTGCGGGGTTTTTCGCCGGGATTACAAAAATTATTATACTTGAAGACCTCTACCAAAATATTTCGGAAAAATATTTTGGTTTACGTGAGCTGGACCGATTTGAAAATGTCTCCAAAAATGGACACCCCTATTCTGCAACACTTTCGTATTCGGATTTCGCTACGAATCGTAGAAATGGTATGCCACAATCCGAATCGTATCTTCGAACTCTCGAAATTCGTAACAATGGCATGCCTAAAAACGAACAAGTATGAAATTATCGAAGTCAACATGGGCTTTAAATTCACAATCCTATCGATTTACATACCCCCTAAACAAACGTTAGCGTTAAAGAACTCTACGATATCATCTCTGGGGCAAAAACCGAAATTTTACTAGTAGGTGACCTTAACGCATGGAACTCCCTGTGGGGCTCAGAATCCACTAACCAAAGAGGTAAAATAGTAGTAGATTTAATGCTTTCAAAAAATTTAATAGTTCTAAATGACATGGCACCCACCAACACACTTCACAACGCACCAGACATTCACACACATAGACGTGTGTATATGCTCACCTGGGATAGGTCCGAAGCTTACCTGCTCCACTCTGTCCCAACTTCATGGAAGTGATCACTTCTCGCTGTTGACCAAAATAGTTTTAGCTTCGTCAAACCCTGGTACACCCAAACCGAAGTTTATTATAGAAAATGCCAACTGGGCGAAATTCCAATGCTCGGCTAACAAAGCCATAGAGAAACACTCGCAATTGGGTCATATAAATAAGGAAGCCAATGTTTTACGAAAAGCACTCCGAAAAGCAGCTCATCTTTCAGTACCCCAAACCCACATTAGTATTCGCAAAACTGTAGTCCCATATTGGTCGTTACACCTTGAAGAATTAAGAGAAACAAAACACTTCCACAGGAATTTGTGACACATAAAAAGTGTACTAGAATTCGAACACACAAATGTTTCTCCATCATTGTCGGTAAAACAAATCGAATTACAAGATTTTTGACGGGCCACTGTAGGCTCAGAGGGCACCTGTATAAACTGGGTATCTGGTCCAGCGACCTGTGTCGCTTCTGCGATGAGGCCAAGGAGACTCGCCTACACCTTCTTATGGAGTGCGAGGCCGTTGCACGCAGGAGGTATAGGAGCATAGGACACATCTGGCCAAGAGAGGAGCACATACACTCACTGTCCCCGGGGTCTATTATGAAATTTATAGACACTCTAGGGCTGGTTGAGGTGTTGTGATAAGCTAGGGGAACAATAGACCTACCGCTCGCAGTGCCTTACCCAACTATCTATCTATCTAACTAAGCCTGTTTTTAAAAAGTAAATGTCAGGGGGCATCAAACTCCAAAAAGTGTCAATTTGACACTATAGTCGCACAACGGTAACACTGATTGCAGCATGTCGATTTTTCGATAAAAATTCGGGTTCTAGAATAAGGGTGAGAGTTTTTTATGAAAAGAAATAGTTTTTTAAAGAACAATGTGGAAAAAATGCCCTCAGATGACAAAACAAATTAAGCTTAAAAAATTCGCATAAAAATATTTAAAACTCTTTTCAACGGAATCGTAATGATGTGATTTTTGATGCTGAATTTTAACTTTTCTCAAAGATTGATTTACAAAAAACTTGAATATCTACGATTTAGACTTGTGGGGTATCAGTAGAAAGGTATTTTCTCACCCTTTTTATTTCTGTGCAAAAAAGGCTTATTCACGTCCTAATTTTTTTCACATATAAATCTTAATTTAACTTGTAGACACTCATTCATCCTACCTTTCACTTTCATCCTTTTAATAAGTTATTAGCAAAGAAATAAAAATGGTGAGAAAATACCTTTCCAATGATGCCCCACAAGTCTAAGTCGGAATAGTTAAAGTTCAGTTATTCAAGTTTTTCTTCTACCAATCTTTGAAAAAAGTTAAAAAACAGCATAAAAAATCTCATTATTACGGTTCCGTTGAAATTTTTTTTTAAATATTTGTATGCAAATTTTGTAAACTTAAACCGTTTTGTCATTTATAGGGGATGTTATTCAAGCAAATCTTGAAAAAACAATTTTATTAACCGACTTCACAAAAAGGAGAAAGGTTATGAATTCGTCGGAATTTTTCTTATGTACATATGTTATTGCATAACATTGAACCACCTTAACCGATTTCTATAATTTTTTTTAAAGAAAATATGTTACATCACAAGCGGTCCCATATTAATTTGTTTTAAATCCGATCATCGGATCATGAAGAAATTAACGATAATCTTACATTTTTATATGAGAATTGAAGTCGTTTTAGTTTTTTCCTTACAAATTACTTGTTCCAAAAAAACTCCATTTTTGGAGGTATTTTCAAATCGGTCCAGCTCACGTATATCTTAATATTTTTCCTAAATATTTTGGTGCAACTCTTAAAATATAATAGAATTCCAATGGAAACACAGCATCGATTTTGATTTGTATGGGGAGTGATGCAGTCTAATGTACATACATACATATAAATAATTTGTACTATAATCGAAAGCATGCAGCTTGAATCACTTTGTGTTATATAAAATTTCCATACCTCCAATCGAGAAGAAATATTTCATCTTCAGTAAGGATTCAATAAAAATTTCCGACATATCCTTAATGGCTATTTCGCGTTTGATTTGTGATATTAATTCTTTTACTGCAAGCTCCAACGCTTCTTTTAATGAAGTTAACTTGTGATCAGCGTAATATGCTCTAAGCTGCGCAAGACGTTTGCCACTTATGTGCCGTTTTCCACTTTTCATATTATGCGCACCTTTACAAGCGCACTCCAAAGCTGCATCATAAATAACAAATAGTGTCGTAACATTTTCTTCAAACTGTGTTTTGTCTTTGCGACGAATTTTACTGGCGTCTACATCGCACATTGTATCTCGTTGTGGAATCCAATAGTAGTCACGAAGCCATGTCAAGCAGTTCACCACGGAGTTCCGTAATACGTCGAGGGGAGGCAGCACTTGTCCGTGGGCACAAATGTGTCGTAGATCCACCACAAAAGAAGGCAGTCCAAGCATACGTGCGGTATCGTACATTGTCCGCATATTATGCGTTTGCATAGTGGACGACATAAAATTGAAGAAGCGTGTGAAAGCGCTTGCATATAAAGTTTGCAAGTCGCTCTCAGTTAGTGTATTTTGCGTCCGCTCTTTATCTCTGTGTTGCACTTCTAGAAGCGTCTTAGTTGCAAGTACGCCCGCTGGGCATTGTGTACTACGCCGCAAACTCCAAACCTTCATTTGTTTTAGAGCGCGCTTTTGCTGTTCTATGTCATTGTCGGGTCCAAACAACCACTCAAAGATGCACCCAAATTCCTTTCTGCAAGAAAAATTTTTCAAACCAAAACAGATTCTCAATCAAATGAAGACTTACACATCTTTCCACGGTCCAACAACTGTCCGTCTTTTTTTCAACCGCAATTTCTTCCATAATACCAATAACTCCCTGTCGTCCTCCTTTGGTATCATAAGCCGATTATTAATTCGTTAAAAGTTCATAACATAGAAACGGTATAGGAAGGAAGATTGGAGTCAGTAAAATAGCATGGTTGAAAATAGTAAACAAACCATCCACGTGCAAATTAGAGATGGGTAACTCAGCGCTGAGCGGAGCTGTTGAACTGACTCCCAGCAGTGTGTCGCTTCTAAAAAAAAATATAACTCAGTAACTCAATACATATTCGCCACATAGTCGGTACACAGAGTAAAGAATGAAAATAAAGACGAGAAAATTGCAAAAAATTTGATAGTTGTAAAAATTTACAATTCGTTCAAGTTATACCGCGCACCAGTTCTACAGCGCCTACCAACTAATTTCCTCTTAACAGCTCTGCAGTGCAAACCAACTCCACAGCGCTCATCAGCTCTGCAGTACATACCAACTCAAGAATGATAGAATACAAGATTGCGTCGATTGCAGCAGAATTCGTGAGAGTAATTTTGGCATGACGTCACCGTAGAGTTGACAATTTAATATCATACGTCAACAAAACCGATACCGATTCGAAAATTATCGCTAACTGGTTATAGAATCTGTCGCTAACTGGTTATACAATCCGTCGCTAAATGGTTACAGAATCTGCCTACAAAAATTATATCGTCCGATTCAGCGGGAACAAAAATGCTTCAAACAAGTAAGAGTTTTTTCTGTATTATGGCCTCGAACCGACATATATCCATCGTTCATTTGAATCAGTATTAAAAGCTCTATTGGCTCCTGCATTCGGGTTTTGATAGGCGAGTCTGAGTCCCTGAACCGTTTTTTCCATATTTTTGGCCTATGTGCGCTTTTGTTCGAAACCTAAATGTTTCGGTACCGACTATCGAGAGTATTGGATACTTAAAAGTATTGACTCAGCACATCACTACTGCTGTCTTCTCTACTATGACGTCACCAAAACAGCTGATTCTGTCAAAATCACTGAGAGCCGAGTAGCGGTATCGTCATCGGCGCCACCTCTGTATTCTCTCCATCGTGATACCAACTCTATTCCTTTTAAAAGCTCTACAGTGCAAACCAGCTCTGCAGTGCTCATCAGCTCCACAGCACATATCAAATCTATTACTTTTAACAGCTATATAGTGCAAACCAGGGCATGAATCACGTAACTCTAAAACGATAGTCGTTCAAACGATACTAACAAAACGACCTCGTAAAAACACTGATTTAAGCATTTGTTTTGCTGTTACGTGTTACTGTTACTGTTACGTGAAGCAAAACTAGAATCGAGTTGACAATATCGCTTCAACAATCTCGACACGACATCGTTCAGACGATTGTCGTCATACGTGACTCACGCCCTGCTCTACAACACATATCAACCCTATTCCTTGTAACAGGTCTACAGTGCAAAACAGCTCTGCAGCGCTCGTCAGCTGAACAACAGCACTAACCAACTCTAAGCTGTGTTGCCTCGACAGCAGAGTGTCATAGCTCAATTGAGCCACCTCACTGAGCTGACTCATAAAAGAGCTTGTGCTATTGAGTTAACTCGCTAAATTTCAATGAGTTACCCAGCCCTAGTGCAAATTAGAGACATGTTGAAAAGTCAGACATTTTACAGCTGCGAAAACATCGGGGTAGGAGTGTTCGATATTTAAGAAAGCATCGATATCATGAATCGACTTAATTCATTGCATGTAAAATCGATATGCCGATATATCAGGCTGAACAATATCGATATCGGAAAAATCGATGTTGAAAATCTTACTCCCAATTGAATAGAATAATAGACCTGCCTGTCAACTCACCTAATTGTGATATTTCACTCTTGTATATTTATTGAGGATTAAAACGGCACGCGGTTCGACTAAAGCGGTTTGTCAAACTTAAGAGCTAAATAAATCACACAAGCTGCTGATTAAACCTACTTTAGTATTTTCCCATACACTTTTTTGTAGATCAAAAATAAATTTCAACTTTAATATGCATATTGCGGGTAAATTATCGATGTCTTCGATATATCGACCTTGAAATATCGATTCAAAAAATCGTTTATCGTGCCATGAAATATCGATATTCGGAATAATCGATACGATATCGAACATTCCTCCATCGGGGCACTATTGATAGTATCGGTATTTTAACTTTTTTGGAATCACCGATGTTTTTGCAAGATATCGACCTCTTTGCGCCAAATTTTCGTATGTCCCTGCAAAAATCGCGACTACTCCATGCATGCGTGTAAAGAGTACTCCCTAAGGACCAAGGAATACTCCAAAATTAACCACAATTCATATAAAAAATATGGTCCAATTAACATTGCGATGTCCTAGGGCAGGACCATATACTCCATCTCTGCATTACATCAGAGTAGCACAACACTACTCCAACATATTAACAATGGCATTGTTGTTATATTTTTTCGTTTGTACACGCTTTTGTTCTTCACTTCTCAAATGCTTTTTCGAAATTAATAAAAGCCAAGCCAAAAATTAAAAATTACATGTTGCCTCTGATGGCATTCGAACCCGAACATGCTGGGAGCTAAGAACTAACAGCGAGCATCTCTACACGTTCAGCTACAGCCAGACATGCAAATGTGCTTTCAAATGATCAACTTCAATGACATTTCGTTAAAACGCGAGCAGTGATCGGATAACAAGGTGAGAAAGAGTACAGATACCTCCGTACCGTCAATTCGTTTCAAGTTTTCTTGTCTCTTTTGATCTTTTCGTTGCTTCCCACTTAAAGAACCAAGGACTTGAATTCAATTAAAGTTGACGCGTGTGGAAGCAAATAGAAAACACAAAAGAGAATGCGAAAAAATTGCTTTCAAGACTTGACGTGTCTGAAAGGGGACTTTGACCAGGGCTTGAACCCAGGTGCTGATGAGTGAAAGTGCACACTGCTTATCACTACACCACAGCGGTCGACAAAAATGCTTTACTATCATAAAAATTCATTAAAATAAATTATTTTTTTGAAACATTCAAATAAAAATAAACAAGTAAGAAAGTCTAAGTTCGGGCGGAGCCGAACATTAAATACCCGGCGCAAGTATTAAATATATGTTTTCCACCTTTCCGAAAGCTACCGCTACATGATAAGCCGGGGTGTATACATTTTAAGTAAATTAGCGTCCTTAAATTTCGAAATATTGAAATTTCAAGCATATCTGAAATTTACCGTTATATGAAAAGCGGCCTCAATTTTAGTCCGATTTCAACAATTTTCAATGGTTTGCTTTTATGTGGCAAGCACAATAACCATACCGAGCTTGGTACAAATTGCTAGAACGGTTAGCGAGATACATATATGTGATCACAAGTGGGCGGTGCTACGCCCATTTCCCAAAATTTTGTCATAAACGTATTTCTTGGTAAAGAATTGTTGCAATCATCAATTTTGAATAAATTAGCTTCAATATTTACTGATTTATCGAAGGTTTTGTATTTCTCGAAATTACCGTTATATGGGATGTGGGCGTGGTTATTGTCCGATTTTAGAAATTGTCGGCCAGTTGGTATGCTGTACCAGGACCAACAACTGTGCCAAGTTTGAAAGAAATTGGTGCAGCGGTTACCAAGATATACACATGTAACCATAAGTGGGCGTGGCTACGCCCATTTTCCAAAAATTTATAATATTCATGTTTTCCGTCTGAAACTCATTGTAAGTATCAATTTTGAGTGAATTATCTTCAGTAGTTACTAAAATATCGCAGTTTTCGTATTTCTTAAAATTACCGTTATATGGGAGGTAGGCGTGGTTATTATCCGATTTCGCCCATTTTCAATACCATCCGTCCCACGCCCAAAAGAAGTTCACGTACCAAGTTTCGTTAAGATATCTCAATTTTTACTCGAGTTATCGTGTGCACAGACGGACGGACAGACGGACGGACGGACGGACAGACAGTCACCGCTTAATCGATTTCTTTTTTCATTCTGATCATTTATGTATACATTTGTCTATATCTATCTCGATTCGTTTTGCCTGTTACAAACAACCGTTATGTGAACAAAGTTATAATACCCTTGTGCACAAGTGCGCTCGGGTATAAAAAATAAAACTAACAAAAAAACAAGTAATTTTTAGCAAAAAAAACCGACTTCATATAAAAAAAATATATTCACGTAGGCCAAAGTTATGCGGTAACATACATAAAAAAAATATTCCGACGAACAGATAACCTCCTTTTTAGGAAGTCGGTTAAAAAGAAAAGAAAAACTAAAGGACTCGAACTCGGATCTCTCGAGCGGCAGTATAATGCTTTGAGCAAAAAGCATACATAAATACTATCAGTTGACTGTCTCTGTCTGTTTTCACCACAAATTTTTGGTAACATTTTTGTGAGTCTCTCCTACTGAATACCCAAATCATCCCAAGTCACAAAAATAGTCACTAATTGATAGTCTCAAATTTAGTGACTTGAGATGAGACGGAATTACTGAATACCAGGGTAAAAATGGTTTTTCTATGGAAAGCTCATCCAGAGGTGTTCAACTTTTGCTATGTGAAATCTCCATCTCGCCAGCTAGGCTATTTAAAAAGTTATAGACGAACATAGTTTGGTTTCCCCATAAGGGTAGCATTACAATCCAAATGTTTAGAACGTTTTTTCTCGAATTCAGGTTTTTCGACTTAGGCGGTTATTGCTTATGACCACAGATATATGTAGGTATGTATGTATGTATGTATAAATGTGTGTTATAAACTAGAGTTCCTAACCTTACATTCCATACAAATATAGATGGAAATCTTTTGAGACGGTGACTTTTCAATTAAAAATTTTTTTTTCAACATAATAGTACAATTTTTTTTTATAAATGATAACTTGTCAACCCAATAATCCGCGTAAATAATATTTTTTAATTGCTACTCTATTTAATCCATATTTTCAAAATTGTTTTCTATTAGCCGGGTCAAGTTAGATTTTCAAGCTGAAATCTGAGAACGTCATTATAAATGAAATGTGAGAAGTCCTTAACGACCCTAGATCTGTAAAAAAAAATTATTCAAGGTCAAAGGTCACCTAAACTGCGAAATTTCATTAAGATCTGTTGAGTAGTTAAAGCGTGAAAGCGTAACAAACAAACCTTTTGTCCAGTACTGACCATTAAAATAATTTTTAGAGGTGGGCATTTTTTACACAGGCCCAAATACACAAACGCAAAAAA